TCTTTTCATTTTCTTTGCCACAGTTGTCGTCTGTGCTGTAAGCACCAATCACTTCTTCATATTCATCCCCTTTTGTGTTATCTTGCCTCAAAACACAGTTGGGTCGATGAAAACGTGTTCGTGTCTGTGGATATGGATTTGCGGTCCACACGGACACATAATCAATTTGGTTTATATAAGGCAGACTGATCTATGCATTCCCCTCATATGTGTTATCTGCTTGCATCTCATGTGGTGTGACAGTTGAGCTGGGACCTTCTCTCCCAGCGAGTTGCTGCTCTTGGGAAAGTTCATGTCTCCGGCCAAGCAGCCAAGCGAGGATGGCCTTTGATATGCATTCACCCTTTCAACCATTAAATGCAGATTTCACATTAAATGCACATTACTGTAGCTGGTGTGTCAGAAGCATGGACACCAAAAGGCACCTTGTATTGCATGTACCTTTGCAACACCACCATCTGATTGAATGGCAGTATTTGACATCCTGTGTTTACTGCAAATCAGAGGACAAAGTGCATTAAACTGTGAGTTTAGCTACATTCTGCCAGCTCCATGAATACAAATCCAAAGACTGTGAAGAAGCTGCTCAGGTTTAGAAATTAAATTTGGGTAAATTGTGAGTTATTAACTGGTTAATTTATTCACACAAGCCATCCACCACTACCTGCCTTCCACAATAAAGCCTGAGCCTTATGAAGGCTGACAAGTGGTCAAGCCACGCCTGCAACACCTCCTCAGCTTGCTTCTGTTTAATTGGCTTGTCTCGTTCTTTCATAAGCCAGCTCGTTAGCAGCATGCTGGTGCCGAGGGAGATGATATCTCCATGTCAACCTCACAGATGATCAGACGGCAAACACACATGCACACTGGTACAGGTTAGCAGTGTGTTGTCATATGCATATGAGCGGAATGAAGCCATAGCTGGAAATGCTCGTCTATAATTTATCTCTTCAGCACACTAGTGGTGGGCTAAACTGATCCAAACTGTAGCTATCAAGACCTACAGCTGACACAAATGTTTAATGCATACTAAAGAGAAAAGTCA